TGACCAAATAGCTACCCTCCTGGAATAGAGAACAGAGAAGAAAATGAGGAAGAACAACTCAAGAGTTTTCCCCCAGAGAGGAAGAGGGAGAAAAAAAATCTCTTTTTTCCCCTCAGTGGAGCTACAGGCCGGGAGTAGTGATGCACACCTGTAATCCCAACACTCAGGGGGCTGAGGTAGGAAGATCGCTGTGACTTCAAGGCAAGCCTGCACTACAGAGTGAGTTCAAGGCCAGTCTGAATTACATAGTGAGACTCTGTCTCGAAAAAATAAAAAAAAAAAGTGGAGTTACAACAGTACCTGATTTATTAGGTTGTTCTAAGCTTGCTCACATGAGAAAACTCATAGTTGTTCTTTTTTGCATTGTGTTGTGTTGTAAAGCAGACAGGAAGAGGCATGATATTTACTACCTTTTCCTCAGTTCAGAACCAATTTCAAAACAGGCTACTTACACTGCGAATGGTGGCACACATGTGCCTATAACCCTTAGCACTCGGCTTCTGAGGCAGGAGGACTGCAAGTTCAAGCCCAGCTTGGGTACAAACAATTTAACATGACCTTGTCTTAAAAAAAATTTTAAAGGTCTGGGAGGGACTGGGGATTTGATTTAGCTCAGCTGTAGAACACTTGCCTAGCAAGCTGGAAGTCCTGGGTTTGGTCCTCAGCACCAAAACCAAAAAATAAACCTGAACTAAAAAAGTTGGGGGAGGGGGTGGCACACACCTGGCATATAGCTCAAGGTGAAGACCCTGAGTTCAATCCTCAGTACCAAAACAAACATAGGCCACTTCTCTCTCATTTACCTCTTTCTCTCTCCTACCTGCACAGATCTTCTCCTGTGCTCCAGGCTTCTCTAGGTCCACCTGTCACACACCACCACACTTGCCTCTCTCCACCCTCTGCCTCTGTCCCAAGCAGCACTTGCTCCAAGATCACTTTCCTACCTCACAGGCAAAGCCCTGTCCCCTTGCAGTCAGTGATTTCAAGGTCCAGTCAGAAAGAAAGGCTTGAATGAATGTCAGGGCCTAACCCATAAGCCTCCTCAGAGGCACTTGTTTTTAAAATTATAGAGTGAAATCTAATTGAGAGAATGTCTCACTGTAAAATGTGATAGGAATAAGTCAAACAACATGAATGCTGGGAAGACAGGGACAGATCATAGATAGTCAGCTCCTTTAAGCATTTCTGCTGTAGGTAATATAGTCCACTCCATCTAAATTGAGATAAGTCTCAGTAACATAAAATTCACCACTGTATAATCAGGGTGTGGTGACGCATACCTGTGATCCCAGCACTCCTGGAGGCTGAGGCAGGAGGATTAGCATGAGTTCAAGGCCAGCCTGAGCTACATAGCAAGATCCTTATCTCAAAAACAGTACAGACAGACAGACAGACAGACAGACAGACAGACAGAGAGAAAGAGAGAGAGAGAGAGAGAGAGAGAGAGAGAGAGAGAGAGAGAGAATAATCTGTAGTTTTAAGTATAGGTTCCACTACTAATCCAGGACAGTTCATCATCCTAAGAAGAAACCCCATACCACTTGGAATCACTCCCTCATCCTTCCTCCCAGACCCCAGCAACCACTAATCTACTTTGTGTGTTTATAGATTTGCCAATTCTGGATATTCCAATCACATAATCTGCAACCTTTTACACCTGGCTTCTTACACTTAGCATAGCATTTCCAAGGTTCATCCAAGCTGCAGCATGTGTCAGAACTTATTTCTCCTCATAACTGAATCATATGCCACTGTATGAATATACTACCTTTGTTCATTCATCGGTTAGTTGATGGTCCTCTCTCCATTTCTAATCCCAAAACATCCCGAAAAACACCGAAGATTCTCTCTGAAAGTAGCTGGTCTGAAATACTGGAGAATTCTGTCAGGGAGTCCTTAAGTTTCATGACACCCAAACCTGACACTTGGCCCCACCCTTAAGGGCCATCCTCCCAGAAAAGAGCTGTTTGCTACACTGCTCACCTTTCCCAGAGGTGGGTGCACGTCAAAGAAAAAGGTGCGGTTGATATAGTAACTTCCCATTTTTCCAAAGTGAGTCTCATCCCAACTAAAGAAAAAACAAAACACTTTAATAAAGCATAGTTAAAAAATAATAGTTAAGACCAAAAGCTATAAATTTCAAGCAATTAATATGAAGGATTTTGTGTGGGGGCTGTTTGTTTTTATGAGACAATGTCTCACTATGTAGTTTAAGCTGGCTTTGAACTTACTATGTAGTCCATGGAGATCCTCCTGCCTCAGCTTTCTGAAGGCTGGATTACAGATAAAATTTAGATTAAAAAACTTGACACAAATGATTTGGGGAAGCAAAACATTAATGTGGATATTATCCCTGATTTGGATAGATAAAAAAGATCAGTAAGTGTTTACCAAGCAGTTACCATAAATTTTCTTATAACATGGAAAATTTTACAGTAAAGTCTTCTTCCAAATCTATGACCTGCTAACTCTAGTAGTGGGTTTGCAATTAAAATGTGATCACTACACTATTGAGTTATAAGCAGTCTTTTTTTTTTTTTTTTTTTTGTGGGAGGGGAAGGTTACTGGGAATTAAACTCAGGGCTTTCCATTTGCCAGGCCGGCGCTATGCCACTGAGCTATATCCTCAGCCCTTTAGGCAGTCTTTCAATCATGCCTGTCACAGGAGTCTGATTTTGCTCCAGGCTGAATAACCTGAAAAACATGATCTGACTGAGCTTATTATGGCAAATTAACCAATATGTAAAAATCGAGTCTTCTTCCTAAGAGCATGTCTAAAATGCATTCTTGGAGGAGCATGGGCATGCATTCCTGTAATTTCAGCAATCAGGAAGCTCAGGCAGAAGGATTACAGCGAGTCTGAGGCCAGCGTGGGTAACATAGTGACTTCAAGGCCTACACCCCCCTTAAAAAAAAAAAAAAATCTTGTTATATAAGTTATTTTGCAAGAAGTGAATATATTAGATTTAAACACAATACTAAGTCTTGATCTTCTACATAGCCACATAAACCTTTTCATACCATAAATGTGGGCCTTAGGAAGGTAGCCAAGTCATCCTGCAGAGCCTGGCCATTTCTGTTTGTTGTTTTTTCTTTGCAAGTCAAAGAAGAGTACTTTTTACTGACCACCCATCTCAGGTCAGCTTCCATGAGCAGTCATTACCAAACTACCACATTAGGAGCAAAACGTGCTTTTCCCAAAAATGTAGTGTGTGTGGGTGTAGGTGTGGGTGTGTGCGCACGCGTGCACGTGAGGGTACACGTTTCACTCAGCCCAGGATATGAGCAGAAAAGTAAATCTGTTTCTGCATCTGCTAAGTACACCGACTGTCAGAAGGTGAGGACAGAGGGATGGTGATATCAAAGAAAGAAATAACTTCCACAGCAGTGTGACAAAAGATTTGTGGAACGTAGAGATCCAGGACCAACTCTGTCTCTTACTAACAGTATGATGTGGCAAAACCACTTGTGCTCTCCAGTATTCTTTTTTCATATACATGATACAGACAATAATAGTATTTTCTATGCCCCTCTCCTAGGAGGGTATTGGGGCTCAACTCAGATAATACATGTGAATGAACTGTAGACTCAGAAGTATGGCACACACAGGGCACTACCTAAGCTGTTACAACATTTCTGGTTAGTTCTGAAGTCTGTTGGGAAACACACTAACAAGGGGCATGAGATATTTACTTCAAAATCTTCCCAAGTAAAATCAGTAGCAACATTCATATTTCCTCGGTTTTAAGTGCTTTTGTCAGAAGAGACAGTTCTCTATGGCTCTCCTGCAAGCCTTGCAGATTATGCCAAGAACATAAGGTCCTGACTTATCTATCCCCATGCCATTTTTTAGTTACATTTGTAGCAAACAACCTTAGGAAAATTAGTATCTCCACTGGGACTGAAAGCAACCTCCCTATCACCTGCTATAAAACAGGAGATCCCCAAGCTCAAGAGAGCATTCCTGTGTATGCTGCAGCGTAAGCCACCCTGTGTGCAAGCATTCATCCATGCACTGCATGGGATTCTAGGGCAGGGGGATCAGTGCTAACATGCTGGTGCTCATCCTACTTGTTATCCCAAGAGAAAGGCCTTTGTTTCTGACCCAGGACTTCGTATTTGTAAGCATCCATAAAATAGGGACAGGTTAATACTCAGTTACAAGTAAGCTAAAAAACCAAAAACAAACAACAACCAAAAAGCCCAGGGCATGACAAAAACAGGATGATGAGACACAGCTTTCTGAAAAAGAAAGGACAAGGAGCCTCATGGCCTGAGTTAGGTATATGAGAAGATTCCCTGGAACTTGTTTGCACATGTTCTTGTCAAGAGTTGAGCAGTGGAGTAGGAAGTGGAACGGGAAGAAATAGGATTGCAACGGCTGTCTGGGCTACTAATCACTTTCCTCTGAGCAAAAAAAAAAAAAAAGAAGTGTCACCATAACAAGCAACAAGCATTGCAGGCCTAATCAAAAGACAATCTGGAAGTGGGCATGGTGGTGCATGGTTGTTGTCCTGGCACTTTGGGAAGCTGAGCTTGGAGGATGCTAAGTTGGATCCTCATGTGGGCAACTTAGTGAGACTCTATCTGAAATGAAAAAATAAAAAAGGGTTGTGTATATAGCTTACTGTGAAAGTCCTGGACTCAAGCTTCAGTATCACAAAAAATAAAAAGTAAAAAAATTTAAAAAACAATATGCAGTTGCTGAAGCAATTAGTCTTCAAAGCTTCAAAGCTTCATAAGGACTATGCTATTTGATACAGAATTTCAACCAAAACAAAAACAATGAAAGATCCTAGGGTTGGCTGTGTGTGCAAGCCAAAAGTAAATGTGTCTTGCACAGTGGCTCTGAGCCACCCTGTTCCTTTATGTACCCTGTTCCCTCCCCCTCTATCATCTCAGCTTCTTCAAAGAGTATGAGGATTACTAGAAGAGTGTGCTGATCCTAGAAGGATTTGCTAGGGTTACCAAAGGCACTGAGAGCCATCAGCAGTGAGTATAGGGATTTACAGGAAAGGCCACTAAGCCCAGGGACTCACTGGACACAGGAAGCATGATGAGGAAAAAGTGGTGCCGGGCCTGCAGAAGGGCTAAGGAGAAATAAAGCTTCTCTCCATTCCTTCCACCCATCTCTCCCTTCTCTTTCAGATGGGACACTGCATCATCTCTAGATAGGGCCTGATACAGGCCTACTAAACTCATCAATCCAAAGGGCAAAACATGTCCAGGTTCAACTAATAGGGTTTGAGCCACACTGCCAAATGCATAGTTTGTACTGATTCACAAAGTGTCAAAAAGGATTATCCCGTTCAAGGACTGCTGCGTGTAGAGAGATGCCTACTGGCTGTTCTCCCTTGTGATCCAGGAGAAATATACAAATCCCTGGAAGGCAGGGGGAGAAATCACAGCTTTAAAGATTCAATAGCTGCTGAAATACTAAGAAACTATTCACCAGGAAACACTGCCACCTGCTGAATACAGATTTTAAGTACACCTGTTTTTAAAAGGGAAGCTATTAACCTGCTGTAGTTAAGCTACTAACCTGACAGTGCGTTCGGCGTCTGCACCACATATGTGCTATATTTATACTAAACTCCTGCTGAAATTGAGCACCTGACCCACAAAGGCCACAAGACCCTCTGGACTGACATTCTCACTGTGAGGTGGGTTAACTTGTAATTCATGGCTAACAAGGGAAGGGGCTCAACAATCCTCACTGTCCTATGGAAACAGTACATTCCGGAAGACTTCCAGCCTGCCCACTACTACTTCCCATTCCACTTTCTGAAGCACAGATGTTGGTTCAATGGGTCCCTTGATTCACTAAGGTTCCTTAAAATGCTTGTGCCTGGTTCACTGACAGGTTCAGTTAAGTTAAAAGTTGACAATGTCCACTGGGCATCAGCAGCTATTCAGCCCCAATAACAACTCTGGATGAACAACTGCAGTAAAGGTTGAAGTGTCTAGTACATTATTTAGAAGACTAAATACTGAGCAATATAGATGCCCAATAGGGAGCTGGAAACCATGGAAACAAACTGGCTACCTATTGATGAGACAATTGGTGTCACTCGTGTTGGTGCCCACAGTAAGGCCCAGTACTCTGCTAGGAATAACTGGAATTAAGTTGCTGATCAAGCCCTGCACCAAACTGCTGCCAGAGCCACCTGGATTTATCAATGTTCCAGGCTTAGAAATGCCTCTACCATCATGGGCTGGGCACAAAGTAAAGGATCATAGATAGGTTTCTGAAGCAGAAGCCCCTGACACATATTAGACTCCCAAATTGGCCTGCTTGTCTCTGTGGCAAATGAAGAAACACTGCATGGGCATCACTCCAAAGGGCTCTGAAAACACTACGTGAAAACTTTGTTCTAAACTCTGGAGTTTTCATTGTTTCCTCACTGCTGCTGGTTCTGTGTCAGGTTACAGTGATTTAGCTGGTCCAGTCCAGTCATCTAACTCTCAATATCCCATTGTGGCCCTTGAAACTAAACTGTTAGGTTTTCCGATTTCCAAGCCACTGATAGTGGCACAACTTTTGGGCACAGTGGATACCCAGCAATGGGCCAATGGACACTTCACACTCCTTTTCATCCACAGATATGATATGGTCAAGGATTGAATAGTCTCAGAAGTCATCTCAAAATGAATTCTAACCATCCATGTCACCTCTTGCTGGTCTAAATCCCTAATAAAGCAGTCTGATCACGTAATGTGGTCACACTTAGGAAGATCCATCTCTTGGCCACCAACTGGGAAATAATCAGAAAAAGAGTACAGAATTATACATTTACTTTCAAAAACAAATTTTTCTTTTTTCAAAAACAAATTTTTCTAACCATGACTTGTGTTTCATTTCCCTAGAGAAACCCCAGATGAGCTGGGAAGAGCTGCAAAGGATTGACAGAACTCAAACTTAAATTCTACTTCAGTCACCTGGACTATCCTATTGGAATGGCATGGTCTAGACTCTATTATAAACATAATAACTATTACACTGAATACACTGCTTTTTAAAGTCTCCCCACAGTTGCCCACAACTGTCAGGCAGAAAACACATGGATTTTTGTCAATTGTCTAGCAAAGCTCTTGGCAAAAAGGTCTCAATATTAATAGGGGACAACCAAAGCAAAGGTGAAGACATAGGAACGACGGTGGGACACATTAATCATGTAACAGTGATAGAAAAGAAGCAACACCAGCACCTGGAGAAGAAACACCTTAGGTTTTGGGAGATGTAAGAGGAAACAAAGGATGTTCCATTTCCCACTAGGTTCAGCACCAAACCCTGGCAAAAGGCTCAGTGGTCCACCTAAGTCAAGTGACAGCGGAAGCTGGCAATTTGACCAGAAGCTGAGTTTATCATCATACAAAAAAACAGAAAACTTCATGTGGAGTGTGCCAGTCTTGAACCATTTCAATGTGCCTGATGACATCCACACCAACTCCCAAATATGTACCTCTCCTGTACATTAACGCATGAATCGCTGCAACTTCTTTCAATCTGATTGATAAAATCATATGCATTTCCTAGTATACTAGGTGCCTCAGTTTATGCCATGTACAGTGATTTAGACCACAAATCAGTGATACTGATCAGTGATACTATTCAGTGATACTGCCCATACAGTTTAACCAAGCCAACATAGTGGTGATCTACATCTAATGTGAGGGTAATCCAAATAAAGTTGTTTTTTTTTTTGTTTTTTTTTTTTTGCAGAACCGGGGATTGAACTCAGCCCCTTGCGCTTGCCAGGGAAGTGCTTATTCCACTGAGCCATCTCCCCGGCTCCCCAAATAAAGTTTAACAAACCATCCTAAACTGAGTGACCTGCATCCTTTCAGGTAATATGTTAGTATATAAGAATGGGTTACAAGCTCTGTCTTGGGAATGGGAGTTGTATTAATTTTCCATGATGTGGACACTGAAATTTGGGGCAATGATATCAAAGATCAGCTATCAAGTTAAACTGTGCACAAGTCATAATGGATAATAGATTGGCCTTAGACTACATCCTATCCTACCATCTGAAATAAGACTCACTGATCATCCCAGGACTTATTTACAGGTGGCTGAATCCAGGTTCCTAGCAGGCATAGTAGAGATAAATACCAAAGGTTGGCCTCCTATTGCTTAGAATCCACTTGATAGAAGCTTAGTTACACGTTGTATGAGACAAATTGAACAGATTTGGTCTCTGTCTCTAACAGCCAGATTAATCAGAACAGCCAACAGAGTGGCACATTCACATGGAAATCTGCTAGAAGCCAGCCTAATGCAAAATCAAGGAGTAGTACTCTTAGGACAGAAAGGCCTTTATAAATGCCTGTCATCCATACATCTTGCTGAGTATTCTAAGAATGCAAGGCTCTAGTACCACTCTGACCACTCTGAGGGACTGGGGGCTTGCGGTGACTGATTCCAACATGCTGATATTCATGTCTCCTGCAATAACGTCCTATGTCTCTAACCCTGGAATCTATTATGCTCTTCTAGCAGTCACAAAACAATGATGTTGCATTATTTTTTTTTAATTTTATTTATTTATGTGTGTGTGTGTGTGTGTGTGGCCAGCTCAGCCCACCAGGGGGCGGGACTGGCTGGCATGTGGTGCTGGGGGATTGAACCGCGGTCCCTGTGCTTTGC